CACTCTGTTCCACCCTGCTGCCAAAGCTCCACTTAAAGCATCCCTGATCCCCATGGCTTCGGTTTCCTCCACTGTCCATTCAGCTCTATGAGAAACTCCTTTCGCTTTTATAAACTCCCCTTGATGGTCCCTAGCTATCCACCCCCACGCACGCAATCCTGAAGCTTGATTAGTTGCTCCGTCAACATTAATTTTTATTACCCCCTCCTCCGGGGACTGCCACGTATCCAATGGGGCTCTGGTCGGAACCCCGTACTGCTGCCCTCCTTGCTGCGAAGCTGCAGCAGTCCCCACAATGTTTATTCTTAAGTTAATAAGGATGTTTTTACTTGGACTATAATTTGCTGGTATGGTCTGGTCTGATCTGGTCTGGTCTGAACTGGTTTGGTCTGATCTGGTAATGTCTGGACTCTTTGTATTTTTATAACTATTCAAGTCTGGTCTAGGACAAATTACAGTCCAAGTAAAAACATCCTGAGTTACCATAATACTACACTTATCATAACTTTAGTTATACTTTTTGTAAATAAATTTTAATTCAGTAATAGTTTTTAAAAAGCCTTGTCTCCTCAAGTCAATAAAAAGCGAAAATTTCAAATGTGTATGGTTGAAATCTCGTCAATTATAAACTATTATTATTATTATTATTATTATTATTATTATTATTATTATTATTATTATTATTATTATTATTATTATTATTATTATTATTATTATTATTATTATTATAACTACTATTAATATATTATTGTTATTACAAAGTAGATTGGTCCGTACATTGTTTTAGACAATGGAGAGTATGTTATTTTAACGTCCAAAAGTGAGTATTTCTTTACCGGAAATTGTAACGTGAGATCATTACACCGTGTGCACGGTATACCGATCTCACTATTGCATATATATATGCACTTTCTTCTTTTCTTCCTTGCAGTCTATCATTTTTCTTTTTCATTGACTTGGTCTTCTTGATTTATCTTTTCTTCAATTCTTTTCTCCTTCTCCAACAAAATATTAAAAATTTTCATTGCAATTTTGCATTTCTTTATTTTCAACAAAAATTACAATTCAATTTTTTTATTCCTTTTCAATTCATAAAAAATACAATTCATTGAAATTTTGCAAATTTTTCTAAAAAAAAATAGTAATCTAAATAAAATAATTGTATTGCATTTCATACTCACACACTATTTTTCTTTAATATTTTTATATTCCTGCAATATTTTAATGTGCACGTATTAGTTACCAACTGGGCTTGGGTCTGGCTTAGTTATTTATATAATTATTACATGTGCACGTATTACCATGTATTCCATATGTGTTACTCTTACAAAGAATTAAATTTCAGCCCATATTGCATTTAATATTTTACATTCAGTATCTAGATTGTCCAAAAATAGCTTCTATGAAGTAACTTACGAATGCCAATAAATACACACTTTAGTTGGGCGGGAATTACAACTTAAGAGGTCCCAAACCTTATTCCTTTAAATTATTTTAGATTTGTGAGTGCAATGTTCTGAACCGAAAAATAAAAATCTTTAACGAGGTATACCGTTGCTCAAATAATCAATGATAGAAATATTGTTGCTCATAGCCAAAAGGTTATAACCAATTTTTATTCTAAGATGAAACAAGAATAAATCCTAACAAGAGTTTTAAATACTCATCTACTAATTCTCAAACTAGGAAACAAAATCCTAGAAATTCTAATCAACTCCAACTAGGAAACAGAATAATAAAGATCCTACTCAACTTCAAATAGGAAAAAATAATAGAAATCCTAATTAACTCATAATAGGAAGCAAATATTAGAAATCCTGATTAACTCCAAACAAGAAACAAATCAAGAAAATTAAAAAGAATAAGTATTAATTAAACCAGCCCACGAAGGTGGGCTCAAGCCCGTCCCAGCCTTCAGTAAACCCACGGAGGCTTTTGCCCGTCTTCTTCCAAGCCCAGATCCTGCTTCATATCGCACAATAACAAAAGTAAGAATGTGGAATAATACTACACAAGATTTATCCTCAACGTAAAACCTTAGGGTCTGATAGTTGGCCCCTTCCTTAAAATGACTTGTTATGTGTCTAATATTTCATACTTCATCCGTCTGATATTGTTTTGCAAAGTCAAAACATTTTGGTCAATCAATAATAAAAGTCAATGCTCCTTCTCGATAATTAATTCCATTTTTAATAATTAAAATTTATATATTTAGAAACTACATTAAAATCTCTTCAAAGTTGTAAACTCCATATTAGAATATAACATAAAATTGACATCCTAATTAAGTGAATAAAATAAAACTGTTTGAGTGTCTGACCAAGAAATATCAAATTTGCAAATCAATTTGGGACGGAGGTAGCAAATGATAAGGGGTTATTGACAGAATGGCAGCAACGAACTGATTTGGAAACAATTTCCTTATTATCAGGATCTTAATGTACAACCTTGGGATGAAAAGTTATGGTGTGAAAAGCCATGAACTCAGTGAAGGGGTGGTTCATTGTTGTGTGTGGTTAGCGAGGATACTTTCTTAAAAAAATTGGATAGACATACGAGTATATTATTAGAACTATCTTATTCAGTTTTGTGTTGTTGTAGAACTGGTAGTTGGTTTTTGTACTAATTTTAGATTCTATTCTAGCCCAACTAATACTCCTTATGATCTTTACGTCAATGTCATTGTCTAGGAATACTCTAGCCTTGTTGGGGAAAACACGATCCCCCGACCTCTTCCAGGATCACCAGCTCAAAGGACTCTTGTACATTCACCCACCCACATGTAATACAAATTAAAGGATCAATCTAACAATATCACTTTGTATTATACAATTGAAATGTACAAGAGATATTTTACAAGTAAACGGGTAGCTCACATCACTCTTTGTATGAGACTACTTCACTCTCACATCTCTCTAGAGGAGGCCTTCACTTATTTAATAGCCCTCCTCAAGGATATCTCTCTCTCATCACTTGAGGAGACTCTCTCCTCTCACTCTAGGACCTCCTCATGGCTCTCACTCTAGAGGCTCACATAGGAATGAAGAGTGTCACCCCTATTTATACAACTCATCTCAAAGATTCTCTAGAACTTTCTATACATCACTACATTTCTAGATTCTTCCAAGAACTGTCCACAAGCTTCTCTAATCTTCTAGAAGGATCTAGAGAACTCCACATCGCTTGAGAATGTTCTAGAGGCTTCCACAAACTTCCGCACGATTCTAGAGAATTCCACATTTCTCTAGAAAACTCCACAATGTTCTAGAATATTCTACACTCTTCCACAAACTTCTAGATAATTCCACGTCTCTCTAGAAAGCTCCGGAATATTCTAGGGACATTCAATATTTCTCTACACACATCTAGAGAATTCTAGACATCTCCGCACTATTCTAGAATTCTCACTAACTTCTCAATTAAGGAGGGAACCCATCAAGCCTATGTGGGATGTCGGTAGGTTTGTTCATTTATAGAGTTTTGATAGTTTGTGTAGGTTTATGCATCATTTATCAAAATTTGGTTATACCTCCTAGTCATGTTCTTTCAAAAATATCATGTATCTAGTTTATTGAATGATAGGTTATGCAGGTTGAGAAATAATGATTTATTGATTTATATATAGGTGCACATTGAGGCGGTTCTATTAGTTCACAATCCATCCCAAATTTCAATTTTATTTGGGAAAAAAATGTATATTACATTTTTAAAAAAGAATCTTTGTGACGTTAAGTTCAATACATTGCCTTGATTGCACCATTTCTTATATTTGCTTATATAATAAGCGCCAAGCATAGTTAGTCTAGGTCTTTTTTCGTCCAATTTGTCCTACAATCTAATGGTAAATTTCAAAACTTAACTGAGTTTTCCCAAACCAATTTAGACAGCAGCGCCGTTCAAAACCGATTTCGACAGCAACGCCGTTTCGATGCAATTTATACCGAGCGACCGGCACACCATGTGCATGGTGTGCCAATACCTAAATGACGACGTTTTATTAATTGAAAAGCAGAGCAATTGGTCGGAGAGAGAAGCGCAATTTCCAATTTTGTAGTCGTCGTCCCTGGAGACCTTTGCTTGTGCTGATACGCCGTCACCAGGTGTTGAATACGTGAATTCAAATCTTCCAATCGCCCCTATTAGTTGCTGGCATGCCCTTGTGTTTAATCAAGTGAATTCAATCCTTCCAAAGTTCAAATCGCCAACACTCATCTTGCCCAACAAAACAAGTGAAAAACATTCCATCATATATATACGAAGTATTTAAAGAGAAGCAAATAAGAAATTTCAGTATATGGAGTGTGTGAGTGTGTGTATGTATATGGAGTGTGTGTATATATATTAATTAATACATGGAGTTACATCTCTGTAAAAACGTTTTACCTACATTTCAATAGCCTCAAGTTACATATCCCAAGTTACATCTAATTTGTTTTCAAGTTACATTTCAATTAAAGCAGTTTACATTTCGACAAGGAGTTTTTGCCATTTTTGGTCCCTTGACTATTATGTCAATGACACTTTTGGTACTCGACTTCTAATTGTTCCATTTTTAGTCCTTGACTATTGTGCTATAGACACTTTTAGTCCATGACTTCAAGGTTTCCCACATTTAGTCCCTGAGTATTGTCAAATTGACACTTTTAGTCCTTCCATTATAAATTTGACACAATAAGTGAAGGACTAAAAAAGTAACTATTATAATAGTTGAAGGACCAAATGTGTCACTTTTATGAAAGTTGAAAGACTAAATATGGAAATTTTCAAAGACGGGTACCAGAAGTGTCTCTAGCGCAATAGGCAAGGACTAAAAGTGGAAAAAATTAAAGTCGAGTACCAAAAATGTCAATGACATAATAGTCGGATGACTAAAAGTGGAAAGAACTCTTTCGACAAGTTACATGTGAATGAGTGTAATTTGCATTTTGATTAACTTGAACTTACATGTTAAATCACACGAGTTACATTTCATATAGCCATGGGAGCATGGTATACGGACTGCCGTTTCGAGGGATGAGCAATTATATTTGCCCGGAAACTGCTTACTAATACTTGTCCATTGGGAGAACCATCATTCTCCCATCAGGATTTTCATCTGTTACAATCTCCCTATGTGGACAAGGTATTCACTTTTCACAATTTTTTTTTACAATTTTCAGTTTATTATTGTGCTACAGTTAGTAATGCTTCATGAATATTTGGAAAATGCGCTGGTGTGAGCCAAAACTAGACAAGACAAATTAAATTTCCCCATGTTGTTTTCATATGCTTCAATGCTACTTATGCTATACTGCCATCCGATCCCAATGGTGTTTGAAGGCAATTAAACACTTTTAAGAGTGAAGCGAACTTAACGCTTACATAGTGCTTGACAAAAATCCTCTTACATATCCACTTATATATACTTTGTTAGGTCAACATATGTAAAATGAACACTTCACTGTCTCTTTGCTCCAAGTAAAACACCATGTTTTGGTTTATCTTAAGTTCTCACTTCTATTTTCTTTACAACAAATAATGTTTAAACATTTTATCCAACTTTGTTGCTCATTACAATGAAAACTTACATTTCAAAAGAAAAAAATTGTAATTAAGTGACAAAATGCCTACACCATACTAATAATGTCCAGGACTCCAGGTACTTTTATGATTTTTATTATAATCACAGTTTTTACATTTTGCAGTTGAGTGAAACTATACATTTACTAATCATTTCAAACTGAACTTTGTTATGATTTTATTCACTTAAGTTACAAAGTTAATACTTCATATGATAAAACTTCTTTTATAGAGACAGTTTTCCATATTCAACATCTCTATATTTGGTGCTTTGAGTTAGTGTGAAAATGTATTTAATTAGAAGTTTATTTTGGAATCTCATAACATAATTGACTGCTTAATTGGATATCCAATACTCACTCAACATGCTTCAGAGAACCTGCTACTAATCAGTAATCACATGTGCCCATGTTCCTTATTACTCCGTATTGTACTTTTACATTAAAAGATAGATAAAAATTCCATTTATTTGTCCCCTTGTGTACAGATTTTCTAACCACTCTAAAAATTACTCCGTACATGGTATACTGGCGGAAACAAAATACCATCCTTGCTTAAGTTAGTTCTTGTCTCTTTTACTTCTTTAATGTATTTTTGCTCTAAAGTTCATCTTTTTCTCTTCCACTTCTTCTTAATGTATTTTGTGTAAGCGTTAATAAATATTGCACGAAGGCATATCTCCAAAAAAATAACAAAACTAAAAAAGGTCACTTAAGTAATGGTTTTCGAAATTACTTTAAGTTATGATTCAGACGATTTTGAAAAGTTCAACAACTCTACATTTGTTTTGGCTTACAACAATTGCAAGAGTCTCAATTGCGATGCTTTGGTCATGTGCGTTGAAGATCGACTGATGCACCTGTTAGACGAGTTGAGAGCTGGAGAGAACATGCAGGCTAGGTAGGAGGGGGAAGAGAAGATCCAAACAAACTTGGATTTGATACTCCCTCCGTCCCTAAATAAATGTCCAACTTTCTTTTTTCGTCTGTCCCAATTAAAACTTCCATTTTTTCTTTTTGGTATAGAATTTGTGGTTCACAACATTTCTCTCTCATCTGCACAACTCTCCACCACACAATACCCACCATCTTAAATTGTGAGCCCAACCTATTTGGAAGTTTTATTAGGGACGGAGGTAGTATGTTTCTTCTTTGGTTGGATGAGAGTATGACTTTGGATAGGACAAAGTAGCGGGTGCATATATGTGTGGACGATTGATCTCTTTTCTTCCTTTTATCTTTCTTTCTTTTATCTTTTATTTTATTTATCATTCTATGATCATATGTTATTTTTCATCTTTTTTCTTATCTTATTTTTCGACCCCAAAATCATTTGAAAAAAAAGGGAATAAGGTTTGGATGTTGTTTGTTTTGAAATCTTATAACAAAAATGAGTGCTTCTTATGATGTATAGTTCTCACATTAGTCACATATCATGTTTCATAAGCTATGTCATCTGGTGCTAAGATATTGTCCTTGTCCACTACTGTTACACAGTTAGCACTTTTAAAGCATAAGATATGATAAGAAAAGATATGATAAGAAAAGCTTTCACAAATCCGCTTTTATACATACTAAAAGCTTTCACTTCTAAAGTACCGGAGTTTTTTTTTGCTACTTTACAGAAGTTAGCAAACATTAGGATAAAAAAAAGCTACCAAACATTAGAATTTATGTCTTGGAGCAAACATTTTATTTTATAGAAGCAAAAGTTAGCAAAGACAAATCAACAGGGAAAATTACATGAATTTTTTAATGTGTTATTGAGCTGTGCTATATTCTACCACCCTGTTTTATACATAAAAGTTCTAAAATGATCATGAAGACACTAACCAGCATAAAAAATAATTAAATGATTCAAAGACAAATCAACTTAATAACTTACTATTATGATTGAAATATCTAATCTTTTCACCACTTTTACAGTATGGTATTCAAGCTGAAACATAAAACATGCTTGGTTAGACAAATAAAGTATGTGAGCCTTAAATCCACTTCCTTTCTCTTCTGCTATTTCTTATTGGATTTTCTTTATCCCTCATTAGTTGATCCTCTCCAAAACTTTTAGAAAGGATTCACAAATAATACAGTATAGAATAAACGATATAAATATATAGGTTTTCATACAAAATTCATACCAAAATCTCATTCAACACACATGGTTTGTAATGGATTGAAATCTAAAGATGATTCATCAAGAACAAAAATGTTACTTTGTTTTTATGAAGTGGTGATCAATTGTTGAAACAATGAACATGGAAATTAAACCATATAGTTAAAAAAAAATCAAAATCTTTATTAATAAAAAAATTAAACGAATAAAGAAAAGTTGCATCCTGTTTTTGGCTCTAAATTGAACCTTATTGTTAGCATGATCCTTTTTTTCCAAGCACATACTTTACCACTACATGTTTTTGAAGTCAAATTCAAATATTCATGAAGGCACCTACAAACAGCAAAATGAATAAAATGTTTAAAGAAAAATCAGCTTCATTTTTTTTACTTATCAGTTTTAATAGAAAACTATCACTGATGAAAACAAAATATTTTCTATCAAATTATCTTCTTGGTTTTTACAAAAAAATTGTGAGAAACAGATTCTAATTAATTTTCCACTCCTCTCTTAATTAATAAGTACCCTTAAAGCCTTAAACATTTGTACTAATTCATTAATAAATGCATTGGGCACAAGTCGCACATAGTGCGTACACTGCTAGTACTACGTATATGACTAAAAGTGCCACATCTTATAGACTATATTAGTGTTAGCGACAAAAATTGCTTTCAATTTTACACAACAGGATTATCACGTTTGTTCATAGTAACTTTACTTATTACTTCATACATAAACATTATTTAAGTAATATGTTAAGATCTTTAAAAGCGCAGTTATATTCAAGAATTCATTTGAATACCTTTCCGTTTGAAATTTTACCTGAATTTGGTATGAGTAAACTAGACTTAATGAATAAGATGCTCGAAAAATTCCACCGGGAACCGCCCCACATGGCGACGGCCGGACAGAGCCTCCTATATAAATGCTTATTTGACCTTTTTTATGTAAGTTCGAAGGTCTATTTGACCTTTTTCCCTTTAAATAAACTTCTATAGATCAACACTTAGAGTCTGTTTGGTAACACTGAAATCGGCTTAATCGATTGATTTTGGTGAAATCTCTGAAGTTCTGGCTGAAGTGACAGTATTGGCTGATTCTGATAATTTATGTATAAATTATATTTAAAATATATTTTACTAATAAAATAAAGAAAAAATTATATAAAAAATAGTTAAAATAGGCATCTACAGTAACTTCAGCCAATATAGCTAGAAAAGTAACTTCAACCTTACTTTTTCTTATTATCACACAATTCAGCACGCGAAATCAAAAGTTATGTGTTTGATTAAAAAGTTGGATGATAGGCTTAGGGTTGTAAATGAATCAAATAATTTGTGTCGATTCGCGATTCGAATTCGTATAGGATGATTCGAATTCGGAAAACTCAAATACAAATACAAATAAGAATATTAAATTTGATTCGAATTGTTATCAAATACAAATAAGAATATCGGTGTATTCGATTAGGATATTAATCAAATATATTCGATTAATATTAATGGTAATCGTAATATTTATATCAATATTAATAATGATAATAGTAATAGCACTATAATAACTTTTAAAAGATAGCAATACCTTTAAAGTGTAGCCCATATATACATTTTTCATACAGATTCCAAGTCCATTTGGGATAACCCAGAATATAAATAAGAATACAAAACAAATTTTTAATTCAAATGTCTTTCAAATACAATACAAATAATTATGTATTTCATTTGAAGAATAAAATTAGAGTTGGTTGACTTTGATATATACACTTATCAACTTATTTCACACTAGTGTTGGACTCGGTGCGGGCCACCCGACCCGGGAACTTGCCCGGCCCAGCAGTGTTGGGGTCTGGGCCGGCCCGGGAACCAGGTACCGGTTCCGGGTCTAGGCCCGGTTTAAGGATGAAACCGGGGCCGGTTCCGGGTATGCTAAAATGTGGACCCGCCGGGTCGGGCCCTGTTCGGGCCTGTTTTTTTTATTTTTTTTTTCCCCGTTTTTTTTTGTTTGGGCTGGGTTTGAATAGGCTGGGTAGGTTAGGTGTTCCCGACGGGTTTGGGGGATGGGGGGGGATGGAGGAGGTAGGGGATGAAATAATCAAGAAAAAAATAGAACCGGACTCGACCCGGCCCGGACCGGCACCGGTCAACATCTGGGCCGGTCCCGGGCTTCACTGATTTTTTTTTGCCCGGCCGGGCCTAATCCAGGCCTGGGCCCGAACCGGGCCGAGTCCAACACTATTTCACACATTATAAGTCTAATTTCTAATATGTGTGTGTTAGTGTTTATTCCAAAAAGTTTGAAATAGATTTATATTTATTAATCATCATATAATTAATTCACTTTAGTATATTGTGCACCATCTAAAAATGCATTGAATCATTAAATTTAAATTCTAAATACACATATTATGTCATACCATGCATTTACAACATAAAAAATACGGAGTATCATATTCGTAAAGAATTATTTTAATGTGATATTTGACTAATATTTAAAGAATATTTTAAAAAATACTAAGATTCATTTAAATTCTAAAAAGAATTATTTTAAAATGATATTTGACTAATATTTAACCTATGCTCAAATCAATTCGATATTCGTATATGATTCGTTAACTATTCGTATTGTTAAACAAATACAAATACAAATCGAAATTAATGTTCGTATCATATTTGAATTCGAATTCATATTCGAAAAAATTAAACAAATACACATACAAAATCTCATTATTCGACTCGATTCGGTTCGTATACAACCAGGGGCACCAAACGGGCTCGTAATTGGGAGATTTTAATAGGGATTACTCCCTCCGTCCCAATATAAAAGACACATTTTTTCTTTTTGGGTCGTCCCTATATAAAAGACACATTTTCCTTTTTGGCAAACAAAACAGTGCAAACAGTGCTAAACATGCAGTACCAAACAGTGTTCCTCCTAAAAATGTTTGAAAATGCAAATGTGTCTCCGAAGCAGCTAGTTGGTCGGTGGTGGAAACAGAAGCTATGGGTGTTCGGGATGCTTTGTTGGGAGCAGCTGAGGCAGGTTGGTCACATGTGGAGGTGATAACAGATGCTCTCTCGGCGGTCCAGGGGCTAAAAAATGAGGGAGGTTCTTCTTGCCTTTTCCTGATTCTTAATGATATTAGGCATATACTAAAAGATAAGAGTAATTTTATTGTCTCTTTTTGTAAACGATCCGCGAATCGTGTTGCCCATGCTTTGGCAAGAGCCCACGTGACAATCTCGGATCAGTATTGTTGGTATGATAGTATTCCCGACTCTATTGTAAGCCTGTTGGCGCATGATTTGGTGAATTACTACCTCCGTTCCACTAAGATTGGGACAAGAGAAGGTGGCACAATTATTAAGAAAAGTGGGTTTGTGTGGTTGATATTAAATTGATAAAGTAAGAATAAAGTAAGAATGGTTTAGAGCCACACAAACTTTACCAAATTTGGTATGAGACAATCTTAGTGAGACTTCCCGAAAAGGTAAAATGGGACAATCTTAGCGGCACAGAGGAAGTAATAGATATCTGTTGGAGTTCAAAAAAAAAAATTGGAACGGAGGAGTATAAGTATAACATACTAGTAGTTGTTGAAGTTTCAGTTGGTGTCAGTTTTATTTTCCTTTTGCTTGATGTAATAATCCTGAATCTTTTGATATGAATAGAGACCCGTTTGATGATAAAAAATATGCGAACTTGTGAAAAGGTTACCCAAATAGTTGTTTGCTATGTAGCGATTATACATGGATGTGGACATACATACTTCAATCAATTCAACGTTAATTAGTAACAAATGTTCCGTATTTGGGTTCTTTTTTCCCCATTGACCAAAAATGTGTTGAAGATGTATGTCCTGCAAGGATATATACGCATCATCATGAACCATGATTAATTTGTGACCACTTGAGGAAACTCGTAACGCAACTTTTAGCGGCTGGACTTTTGCATATTCCTCATCCATATCACAGAAACCGCAATATTAGTTTCTGTGCACAATTTGGGCCATTTGTCATCATTCCTAAAGTCCAAAAAGCTACACAGCTTTTGTACTGTGGCGTGCGACCCCTATTGCCGTGATTCAGCCCGCTGGCCCACTTTATCCCTATTTCGTGCCCTTACTTATTGCCAACTCCGATATTGCCTCTTCCATCGGCCCATTTAGAACAAAAATGCAAGCAAAATTCTTGGTATACACGTTTTTATACACATCAGTATACCTCCGTTTTTGTGAGAGGTTTTTTGTCTGTGAATCCCAGTTCACTGAAAAAACTGGCTTGTTTTGTCTGTGGAAAATTCTACAGACAAAACAAGCCAGTTTTTGTTTTTGTCTGTCGATTGGTATTCACATACAAAAAAAAACTCTCACAGTCACGGAAGTGTACTGATGTGTATAAGAACGTTTGAAAAAGGAATTTTTGAAATTGCAATCCCTCCACTCATTATTGTTTGTTTAGTACGTTGGGGGCTTTGACGACGTCGTCATGATGAGGTTCCATTTGTCTCTTCAAGAAGCATTATGCTTGTCTCTTCAGAACCATCCAATTTAAAGCTGGGGATTGAATAAAAGGCAGGCCTAATTGGTAAATTGGCTATCACTTTCTGTTTTCTGTAAATGAAAAAAAAAATATGAAGAAAAAAATGTTGTTTTGATTCTATTTGTTGACAAACCTCAAAATCAACATCTTTACAATGACCATGAATTTTTATTAGCTCAATAGCGTATAGACTATAGAATAAACATCGTTACATTTTAAAATATTTAGTACTCTGTAATTTTTTGTTAGTTATGTTTCAATATTAACATGAATACTATGATTATGGACTTCTGGTTCGTTTTAGTTCATCAACAAATTTAGGGAGTATGTCTAGAGTACCATTATGAGATGTTTTTGTACGTTTATGTATGTTGCACATATTTTAGGACATCTCCAATGCTACAATGTGCACATTGCATATGTGACATGAGAGAGATAAACAAAAAAATTGAAGTTATGACATTTCTCTCTCATTGTTTCCATGATTTTATATGTTTTTGGTAAGTTTTCTTCTGCAATGTTAAACACAATGTCTACATCTAGACATTATGATTGACACTGTGAAGAAAAACTTACCAAAATGATGCAAGATCCTTCAAATAAGGAGAGAAATATTCTATTTATTACTTATTAATTGGTTATCTCTCATGTCACGTATGCACCGTTCACGTTTTAGCATTGGAGATACTCTTATACTCCCTCCGTCCTTAATAAAACTTTCAAAACGGCTGGGCACACAGTTTAAAATAGTGGGTATTATGTGGTGGAGAGTTGTGAAGAGGAGATAGAAATGTGTAAGAAATGTTTTGAACCACAAAATCTTTATCAAAAAGGGAAAATGGAAGTTTAATTTGGAACAGATGAAAAAAGAAATTTGAAAGTTTATCTAGAGACGGGGGAGTATTTTGTTTAGTACGTAGTATCACTTTAACACTACAGTTTAATCTTAATATTTGCTGATGATTGACTGGACATTACTTCCTGCCGAAATTGAATTGCACTTTACGGGTATTAAGATTAGCGGTAGAAAAAGTTCTGGGTTGAATTGCACTACGTATCTTTCAAAATCTGCATAGAATACTTTATATTATGGGACGTTCATTCCAACTATGTTTCGAGAATAAAACATACAAAGTTCTGTGTGTGAATTTTGTGCATGCTTCATTCTTATTTTTAACATTTTTTAAACATATAATTACCAATATATTTATTGAACTACACTAGGGATCGATCTACTATCAGAATAGATCTCATCCCCTATATTTTTTTTATCTACACGCACCATTCAATTCCATACCCCATATTAATACCTTATTTTAATCTTTCGAATGAAAATTGGCCGGCAATATATGTACCACACTAAATAATTGAAGTACTATATGGGAAAGTATAGTACACGAAAACTTCAGTCTTCTCAGAGCCCCTACCACTTAGGTGTAATTTCCCCAGGAAACCAGAAGTAATGTTCCACCTCCATTTTCTATCTTCCTACATAGTTCAATTGTGACACAAAACTCCCTATGAGATCCCTCTTTGAATTGTTCCATAACGTTCAATTTACACTCTAATTTGTGACGACTAAAAGTGAAATAAAAGTAACCACAAATACATTACATTATTACGAGGAAGGGGCAAAATATTTATGACATTCCAATTTACAAAGTTTTTTTTAAAATTGTTTCTGCTCCTTGAAAGAGCAGAAGTAGAAGTTGGAATAATTAGGTGGAAGTGCAGAAGTAGAAACTGAGGGAAATCAGCTTCTAAAAACTGATTCTGGTTTTGCTTCTACTTACAAAAACAGAAGCAAAATCATTCCAGACACCCCCTTAATAATCAAAATAAGTAAGACAATTTGAATTTGACTAAATTGGATGAATTTGTTCAAAGAGCTACTATGGCTTTTCTATTGTATGTAGTACAACATTTTGTTTATTCTATTGTGAAAATATATTTTCAATATGAACTTTTCATAATTCAAACCTATCCATCCAACTTTGTGAAAAAAAAACTTACTAATCTAAGTTAGTTGTGATCCAGGCTAGATTTGGCGTAAAATGTTATCAAAGACATCAGTATTAGAATATTTCTATTTAGACTGTCTTCAATCTCAATAGCCAAGATCATGCCAGAATTGACCAAACCATGTCATATTTAATTAATCATATCAAATCAAACTTAAAAACCAAATTTCAATCAAATTTAAAAAAAAATACAGAGACAAGATAACTAACAAATCAACTCAAACTTAAAGAGACCAAACTAAAATTACAATCCAATTAATATAATATAGATAACAAATCCACATTCAAGAGATTACTATTATGTTTGAGTGATAGTTTTTCCACCAGAAAGAACAGGTAGAGGCTATTTTATCATTAATCATATATAACCCTACATATCATCAGTTGTAAAGATACATCTCCATTGGATTCGCAATAAATACAAATAGCAGATCCAAAATGCAATGTTCTTTTTTACGCAAAGACAAATCAACAAACGGACATATATTTTGATCACGCACACGGTTACCAGGCAAGAGGACAATAACAAACATCACATTAATAATTAAGGCTGCCCCCGCCGTACAATGTCTCCGATAATCTAATCCGATGAAAACACACACACAATTAATCATCCATCTTGTCTTCCTTATTAATACATTAATTAATTATAATTATAACAATTAATACTCCTCGATGGATAGAAGTTCAAGAGATTAATTAACTAAATAATTAATTAATTCCTAATTACCAAATAAACGTAGAGATTTGGAATTGGCTGAATTATTATTCTTCAATCAGTAGGTCCACATGCAGTCGAGCTCGGAGTTGCCAACTCTCTGGGGTTCTGCCAGCTGGGACCAGTTCGGGAAAGAGGCGTACCCACCTCCGCCGCCCATTTGGGCGGCGCTGCCGCCGTCAAACGGGGTCGAACTGCCGGAGATAAAGAACGGGAGCTGCAGATTTTCTTGGAGCGACCTCAGGCTGGGAAACGCTGACATGCCGCCGCCGCCGCCGCCGACGTTGCTGCCTCTTGGAATGCCGAAACGGGTCAACGACGACGAGAGATGAGAAGTTGACTGGTCAATGAGATGCGTGAAGTTGGACGACCCGAGCGGCGGCGGCGCTGGGATGTCAAAGAGGCCGGAAGTGGAGAAACAGGGCACGTGCTCCTTGGCGGAGGCGTCGTCGTCGTAGGAGCAGATGTCGTGGTCCGCCGCAGCTGCCGCCGTAGAGGCGGAGGTGGCGGTGTTGTAGGACATGCAGGATGAGTCGATCAGCGGCGGCAGAGAGACGGAGGAGGGAGAGCTAACTTCCGGGTAGAGGTTGATACGGCCCGGGGGTAGTCTCCTCTTTCCGACACCGGCGAGGCTAGTGGCCGCCGCAGCGGCGCCACTCTTTTGGAAAACCCTCGAAATGACCCATTCATCCTGAAATATCAACTCTAATCACCATTAATTATACAGTACAATTGAAATGAACGAACATAAAAAATTGTTTCACATCAAGTCACTAGAAAAGACACAACAAGTTCTCTTACTATGGTATTATTAATAGAAGTAATTACTTTGTACTCCGTTTTTACTTTGTACTCCGTAATTACTTTGACCAAACTAAAAATGACTTTACAAAAGACTAGTAGTAATGAAATCATATTAATTTATGTTCAAATTTTGAACTTAAATAGTCATATTCATTAAATAAGTTTTTCATTCGATGATAACTCTGGTGCCTATTAAAAAATGGAATATCATACCCACAATTCACTTGATTGATTCAAATCAATATATCATTTTAAATTAAAATTTAAATAATTCAACTGCATTATTCTGATTGATCGCAAATGTATGATATCTTTAGACTACCCTACAATCAACCTTTTCATAATTATAGTACGGAATATACTACCTCATCTAATAATTACACTAAAGTTTGACTATTGGAGTAATTCATAACGTCATAACTCTTTCGAATAATTTGTTTAATACTCCGTAGATTCTTTAATTCTAGCTGGACTAAATATAATCTATCATTCCATGATTATGCTCATGTTTGACTTTCAGAGATAAAAACTTGATAGAGTCAAACTTTAGTCATTTAAGATTTTTACGTAATTATAAAATGTAATACGATTATAACAACAGGTACGTGAATGTTTTACAATGTCAACTTATTAAAAAATTTATAAATACCGAATCTTGTATTGTGTACTTCGTATATATTTTCGACCAATATTCTTAGTGTACACGTAATTTTCGAAAATTATCACTCTTTCTGAATTTTACTAGAGGTTTTCTTAAAAAATTGCTGAACTTAAACTAAGATATACGTTGTAAAAGAATGACCAAAATTATTATGAGTATATGATCATGATTAATTAAATTTGAAAATTGAAAATAACATGTTATGATTAATAGTTAAGAGTATGTAAAGTTATAGAGGTCAAAGTATGTAAACCAAATTCATTTTACGTAAATATAGAGTCTGACATTATTTTATTGCATATACTAGTGTATTTAAAAGGAAGTAATAATTGTGAGCATGACAATAAATCAAATTATGAAGTTTATAAAAGGATGGAGTACATATTATTTTGATGATTTATACTTAAAAGACCAAAAGGATGGAGTAAACTATACTAGTAAATATTAATTAACCTTAATAAAAACTGTTTACTAATGATATATACATACCTTAGAGGCTCGAGAGAAATAATGATAGGCAAACTTGCCATCAAGACGATACTCATGCATGACCCAATTCGTCTTTTCACCTTTGGGAGCCCTCCCCCGGTAGAAGACGAGGGTTTTCTTCATCCCAACCAGAGCACACGTCGTCGTTTTGGAGCTGTAAATCTCTCTGTCTTTTCCGGTGGCCTTCCAGTAACCCGCCTCCGTCGCCCGGTTCGTCCTCAGCCCGGTCGGGTACTTCCGGTCCCGGAGACTGAAGAAGTACCACTCTTTCTCCCCCATTCTTGCTTTCTCTGCACGCCGGCCGCCGGCAATTCAAGAACCACAATTAGCAATAATTATAAGAAAAAGTAAATAATGGGTTTGTAAAATCCATTCAAAAAAATGATGGGTCAGTAAAATTCTTTAAAAAAAATGATGGGTTACTAAAATCTCGACTTTCCGGCCGCCCCGTACCAGGTAGCTCCCACGGCTCGCATTTGTTGAGGTCAACTTCGGCAATGGCCCTGGCGGAGAAGGAGCCGTCGACAACCTTCTTGAGGAGGTAGTAAGTGATGAGCTCTTCATCTGTCGGGTGGAACCTGAAACCAGGCGGGAGAGAACCGCCGTCTCCTCCGCCGCCGTTGCCGCCGCATTCCAGACGTTGGTAGCCGGCCAGGTAGCTTTCCCCCATGTTCATCAAATTTGATCTGCTCTGCGTTCGTGTGGTCTGTAGCTTAACGAAATGAAGCGTGGAGAAGTGGGAGAAAATGCAGGACAGGCCAAGGGGTATTTAAACCAAAAATCAAATCTTTATTGTGGACAGGAGGCGGGCCAGAATATATAGAAAGTTAAATACCTAAACCCGCAGAAGTTCAGAGCTCAGATAAACGAGGAATACGGGTTGGCCATTTCCATATATTGTGTTTGTATTTATATTACTGTACGTATACAATGTGTATCTATACATATATACACACTGGTAGTGGGGTAGGGTATATGTTAAGTTAAAGGTTGCGGTCTTAGCTTAGCTAAGGAATGCATGAGATTGTGGGCTAATATATAGAGACACTTGATGCATGGGGATTGATTATCAGATTATAGGAATATACGGAGTATAGTGGTAAAGTAGGATACTATACATTCTTTGTACTCGGTATAATTCACTCTTGTCTTGACTTAATAGCAGGAGCTATGAGTGAAGGTGAGAGATTCAAAATGAGAAATAATAATATGGACCACTTAGTTTTAATGAATCCTTTTCCATGTATAAAAAAAGCTAGATTCTATGGTACCCATAAGGTATCATACCTTTGTCCACATGGACCAATGAGAATGTAGCAGTTGAATTATTTAAATCTAAATTAAAAATGATAAAGTGATGTGGTCCAATCAAATGAACAGTAGGTACGGTACCCCGTTTTTTAAAAAGGTACCGGAGTTGTCACCATAAAAAAAACTTAGTTTTAATGAATAGCACGCACGCAAGTTGTTTTGGGACAGATGAAAAGAGTGTCAAACGAAGCTTTGGAATTATCAATGACCTTTCTTGAGGTTTGATGCATTATCAATCGCACCTATATACTATCATAAATATACTCTTACCCGTCTCTCTATCCTTTAATGATGATTAAATAACTTTTAATATACATTTAGAGAAAATTATTATTGTTAAAATTTCATAATTTTTTGTTAAGCCCACTTTTAATACTGTAGTTTTACTCAATTATAAATCTTGTCAGGCAATTAATAAATTTATTCATGCTAAAGCCTTTTTTATCAGAAGTCGAACAAAATAAAAAATGATCAAAACTGACCTCACTCTAGGTAGTTCGTTTTATGCCTTTGAATTTGTGAAGTGTAAATTTACTCAATTGAAAATGATCAAAATATGCTACATTTGTCAAAAATTGAAACAAATCAACCTAAATGAATCAAACCGACTCAAAAGTGAAGTTTACTATCTACTCGATTTTACCATTAAAATTGAATGCAAGAAAATTCTCACTACGCACTCTAGACGACTAGGCACTCTTTGTTATCACTGATGATCGTTATAAGTATAGTAATGACTTGTAAATTAATATTTGACAAAATATGAACATGTTCACATATAAAATACTAGTAAAGACATTATAGCTTAGGACGGATTCCTCACTCGAACTGATTAGTGCTAAATAATTAGGGTGACCCATGACCTTATCTTTGGTTCCAATCTACTAATTGGTCTAGGTTTGCTCCCGATAATTTAATTTTTTTTTTTAATTACGGAGTACCTATTTTTCAACTTTTAAATGGACTATAACCTATTTTAAAATGTTCTCAATGGTTTTAATGAACAAATGAACGGGGTCAAAACACGGGCTCCAATCCAGGTCCTAAAATGTGAGGCCTGAGACCTCTTTTTCACCGGTCTGGTCTCGCTCCCGACCTAATATCTTAATTATAAAATCTGCCATTTTCGAGACCGGGCATTGTCCTCCCCTAATATGAACCACAAAAGTAAGTATTTTTCATATAAATTTACAATAGGTAACAATGGTCTTCTAAAAGTCCTTCACCAACATTTGTTTTAGGTATAAAATAACATTCTTCGCAATTGTGCATCTTTCCCTCGTTAGAAAAGTTTCACTAATATTTCTACAGTTTCAGATATATTTTCAAATTTTTAAAAGTAACAGAAATTTATTGTTTTAAGCTTGTGCCTTTCGATTGTGTCTGATACTAGTCCTATAACTTTACTCACATGTAGATGTAGTCATGTATCTAATAAACTTGTCAATGATGAGGGCTATTTCACCGGAAAGTATGTGTTCCTGCAAAAAGTACTTTTGGGTGGAACGATTCTTAATACAGGTAAATTTATAAATTATCTGATTTAATATCTGCAAGTGAGTAAATTTATAAAACTAAATTTATACTTTTGCTAAACGTAATCAAGAGTCATTAAACTCTCATTAAAGGATAGGGAGGGGGGTAAGCGTATATTTTTAATAGTGCAGGGTGCTAGATGATAATATGTGAAACCTCGAGGGAGGTCAATAATAATTTCCCTTATGCAATTAGGTTGTTGCACCGAAAACTTGCATCCTTTAATTCATTGAAAATTAAGTAATCAAATCTTTTTAACTGCAGTGATTGCTAATTTCTCATGAGAAAGTTATATTCTTACCTGCACCAGCAAGTAAAAAATGCTTTGGTTGCTCAATTTTCAATGAGTTGAGAATGTATTTGGAAGTCTATCAGTTCAGGGGTTTGAATGCAGAACCAGTAATAGTTCTAAGATTTATTTTCCCTTTTTCTCGATTGCATATGGAGCATATGAGATTAGTTTGGGACATATGACAAATGTAGTATATATTATACAGATCACAGGTGGAATATATATTATATATATACTTCTTTCATTCTTTTTTAGTTGCAACAGTCAACATTTCACATTTGTCAACACACATCTTTGTCCGTAAATATATCTTATTCTCTATTAGTAAAAAAAATAAAAATAAATTTAAAAATTTGTAATGTGATAAATTGAACAATATTTTAAAAATAATAATTTTCATAAAATAATAATATAAAATGTTGTCAAAGTAGAGCATGTGAATAGTGTAAAATTCAATATGTTGCGATTAAAAAACGGAGGATAGTATGAAGTATCTAGTATATATTACCTTTGTCCCCTATTATTATGACATTTTTTACTTTTTCAGTAAAAAAGAAAAAAAATGATCTATTATTTTAAGTATTATATTTATGTAAAACTTAATAAATTTGTACTTAAATAATACTCCATAATATTCTAAAAATAATATTTTCATATTATCAGTATTACCGCGTATAAATATATAATCGTTCAAAAGTTATATTTGACTAATTAAAAGGGGTGGAGGGGTATCAGAGTATGTTTTAGTCATATTTAGAGTAGTTTTTATTATATGTGTAGTGATCATGACAAGTTAATCAGAAGTTACTTTTCTATTTGATTTTGTTTTTAGTAGTCATAATAAGAATAATACGAAATAATCTTGCTAAAATGTGCAATTGTTAATTAATAGAAACTACTCCCTCTGTCCTATAATTATTTTCATTCTTTCCATTTCGACCCGTCTCAAATTTATCTCCTCTTTCCCCTTTTGGTAAAGAATATGTGATTCACAACCATTCTTACACATTATTACACATTTCTCTCTACTCTACACAACTTTCCACCACACAATTCCCACTATCTTAAAACATGTGCTCAGTCAAAACCGAAGATATATATGGGACATAGAGAGTATAAGTTTTTAATTTATTAGGAAAATATATTATATAGAAAAAATGGCCCGTTTATGACTTTTACCTTTTCAAATTCCAAATATATGACAAATCTATTTTTTCCCAAAAATGTGACCCGTTCATTTTCTCGCCGCACATGCGCACCAGACTATCAATTTTAACTACTTCTTCCTCCTCTCATCTGCAAACCAGTGATTTCAACTCCGATCAGACCAGACTATCGATTGACATCCCCAAACCAACGATTTCAACTCCGGTGAATGGTGAAGACGTCCAGCGCCTTCAACTCCATCTTCGACTTCATCTTCTTCTCCTTTATTTTCTGTCCGCAAACATGTGCTACACTCCGATAGTACAATCCATCAAGAGACCTTGATATTCGTGTAATTTCCGATTGTATTTGTACGTTTTTAATTAGTTTTGTGATTCGTTAGTTTGGAAATTACACACTTTTGGTGTAATGTTTTAGTTTATTTAAATTTGTGTAAATTGTCTAGATTAGGATTATTCTGAGCATAGGAGAGGTTAAATGCACTCAAAGGATCAAGGAATGGATCCTAAAGACCAAAAGATGTGCAAAGGAACAAGATCAAACAAAGATTTGAAAAAAAGTTCATATACCCGGTGGGGAGTTGTGCAGAAGAGAAAGAAATGTGTCAGAATGTGTAAGAAATGCAATGAACCAATTCAAAGATTCTTTACCAAGAAAGATAAGTGACAATTTATTTTGGAAGGTTACTTTTCACTTTTTTTTTTGGGAAAAAAAAATATTGTAAATATTGAAGATTGTAAATTTAGCCTTTCGTTTCATTTTTAATAGTATATGAAATTCTAAATATAATTTTATCGAATTTCAAAAAATTCAGTCAATTTGGTAGTCACAAAACATCTTAATTACTTCCTCCGTCCCCCTAAGTGTGTCCCGTTTTACCTTTTTCGTCCGTCCCACTAAGTTTGTCTCATACCATATTTGGTAACATTTGAGTGGTTAGAATTCATTCTTACTTTATTTACACTTTATCAATTCAATATCAACCACACAATTCCACTTTTTCTTAAAAACCACACCACACCCCTCCGTCCCAAACTTAGGGGGACGGAGGGAGTATTAGCTAAAGGTTCAGTAACTTAAGTATATTTAGGGAATTTAGAGCTTGTTTGGTAATCATGTTTTTCGGGTTATCAGACAATTTTTTCACCAAATACGTAATTTTTGTTGGAGTTACTTTTCTGACTATGGCTGCGTTTGTTTTCTAGCGGGTTGATGTCTACCCGCTGCAAAATGCAGCGGTTTGTAGTTCAAATAAATTAGCGGATTGGGCAAAACGCTATTTACCAAACGGAGTCTATATGTATTGGCTAAAGTTACTTTAGACGGCCATTTCTACCTATTTTTCATACGTAGTATAACGTTTTGTATATTTTACTAATAAAATATATTTTAAATATAATTTGTACACAAATAAGTGGAATTAGTCAATCCAGCCACTTCAAACAGAGTTTTTTAAGTTTCAGCAAAATCAGCCAATTTAACCGGTTTTGTGATTTTCAAACAGGATCTTAGTCTAATTTTAGAGAGTATTTGCAAGAAATTAAA